GCCACTGTAGCTAAATTGAAACAAAAGGAAGGGAAGATCATGGGTGATTCAGGACACATCTAGAATAAAGTGTTCAAATACCGTGGTATGGAAAGGGAAGATTGTTCAGTTGATTTTGGAGTTTGTTAAAGATATGAGAACTTATTAGCTTAGTAGTAACAAGATTCTAGCGTTAAGGTCTTATCAGGATGTCTTCAGGTGGCTAATAACATTGGAAAAGATGACATGGAAAGAAAAGTGAGAATTGCTCGGTCTGATGGGCTGTTAAAGCGCCGAAAACTTGGTAGCCTAGTACTGTTGGGGGAGACTATTTCGGGTTCAGAGTAGGATCACACCATAAGACTAGGCTAGGTACCATTTACAAAAAAGCTGAGATTAGTCAGTCCAGAGGACCACCAAACCACCTCTAAAAACCGATATCCTATTGAAATTTAAAAGAGCTTTTTGTTAGTACTGTGACAACGAAACCCACAACGAAAAAAATTAATTTTTATTCAATGTAAATTTATTCGAAAGATTTTATGCAATACGCGTGCATAAAGATTCGCAATCTACTTCTGATAAAACCGGAATGCGGGTAAAATTTGACCTACTTTCACCGATAATCCGTTAATGAAAATCAACGCAAGGACACCAGCTGAACTTTCCTTGCGCGTATTATCACAAATGTAACGCAATATTCTCAACATTTTCAATATTACTTCACATCTTGCTTCATACAATCTAAAATATACTGTACATTACATAATTAATAATTCCGAGCTTTTCGAGAGTTGTATCTTATAAGAAAGTTTTATTCCAAATTTTATTCTATTTATAACTTTCCCATTAGCTTATACCCGAAAATCTCTATAACAACCTTTCAGACCGTGACAGTATCAAATTTGTTGTCACTAACAAGAATGCTAGAGCCTTTCGTCGGGCGTATCACTATAGTTTTGATTGATTACGTGTAACCGTATCGATAAACAACACATCGGCATGGAAAAAAAGATGAGAACAGATGAAAACTGATCAATTAGACTCGCATTCCTTTCACCAGCATGCTCGTTAGAGACACAGAATAGGTGCGCCGAAATTCATTCAAAAAGGGGCGATTTCGAATCGACGAGACGAGAAAAAAACGCAATCGGAACGAGACACACAGGCCAGGAAGAGGTGTTTTGCCGTCACCGATAGGTCGTTCATTCTTTGATCTTTTATCCGGTTGACCTGAAACTGAACGATTCGCGCTAAAAGCTATCGAAGGCCCTTTATTATTTTCGACGTAGCGCGGCTGGGGTCGAGCCGTGTACATGGCGGCTGCATGAGCAAATCGATCGAACAAGCGGGCCCGTAGGTATCGGGAAACGGTGAATTTACTAGTCCGTTTCGAGGGCCATAGAAATCGCCTTTAATTCGCGTGATGCGAGACCGCCGCTGATGCGTTTGAATTATTTATGACCGTCGTAGTGAGCAGCTGGTTTTAGTGTCGTGTTTACCCTCCGCACTTTGCCTGGAACACCTGAATGGAAATCCTCAGAGATTTAACTTGATAGCGCAATAATAAATTAATTACTAAATGCGCGCGGCACAGCTGTAATAACCGTGCACGAGCGCACAAAATAATTCCTTGGTGAGATTACTTCAAAGTGATTTCATTTGAAAAAGTGAGTTCGAAAATGTGTTAAACGTCAGTGATGTTATATAGAACTGACGTATTCCTTTATTGTTCATTACTCCTAGTTACCACAGGAAATAGAAAATAAGAAATTCTTTCGTTTCATAAAGTTCGGAAAGTAATATTATCCTCCACTAGATGAAACCACCCCTTCAAACTGAAATTCGGCATGAAAAAGAATTGCAATGTATTAGGCTTGATTTATTCTAGTTACACACGAAGTTCTGCAATCTTTTAAATTTGCGGGTACGATATCTTCCCTTGTAAGTTACTTTTTACACAAAAATGAATAATACTCGTCTCCATCATTACATAAGAATCACTAATATCCAACTTCCTTAATCCAAATTCAAAATCTTCCCAATATTACAAACCAAAGCATCAAGATCACATTCTCCAACAGATTTCCCCTACAACCAATCCATACTCACACTCCACCCTAAAAGATCCCACAGAAGGAAACTTCCAATTCCCTCGAAGCAGCGTTAATTCGCAGATCACCCCATCCACAGCACAAGTCGAAATTCTCGAATTCCACGCGAGAAGCGGCTCCATTAGGGGCTCAGGACCCAGAACCTTCAGACGTTGGAGTCTAAACGAGCGTCACGCGCCTAGACAGCAGGATGGAACGTGACTCTGTCGGCGACAGATCGCGTACGAATGGCGCGACGTGAAAGAAGACTACCCGGTAGCAAGGAGTTCAGGGACGAATCAGCGGGAACGGGATCGCGCGAGCATTGAATAGCTTTAACGAAGCCGGGGGTATGTTCTCGCGTGTTCAGGCGACACCGAGGGGTCCGATGCGTTGAATCTTCGAGGCTGGATCGTTCGGACGATTTCCTGCGGCGCTGATAGCCGCCAGAAGACGGTGCAGCGCGGCACGTGCGACTCGCCACGAACAGTCCGCCTGCCCTACAAGTCGAAACTCTGTATCTGCGAACAAAAGGCCGGCTGCTACGTGTCCCTTAGGTCCCTCTTAAATACGTGACACGCGGATAACGGCCGGCTCCGTCGGATTCCGCGAGCGTGCCGAACTCACCCCCAAGTTGCTACGTGCGCGCACACGGGATTAAGATTCGATCAGCGATCGCAGCTCGAAGAAAAAGTGAACGCCGGTCCCGCGGGCCGACCTATTAACCGTTATCTCGCCGAGATAAGGAGGCAGGGTGACGCCGCGCCAAGCAATGGCCTCCAAATTTCAGATAAGCCCCGGCGAATTACGATCGCGCCGCTCTCGATCTTTTAATGCCGACCCTTCCGGCTGCGTAATACGGACTACACGTTTTATCGATTCGATACGCGTATTTTTAGTGCATGCTGGTAATTGCAGATGTTTATGGGATTTTGTGTTTTTGAGGGTTTGCAAAGGGTACCGCGTGAACGTTTATAGCTGATGGTGAATGGTGGGATGAATTTGGATGAAGGAGTCAGAGGAATAAGTGAGAAGGAGAATGTGGTTTATGTGAGAAATATGTAGGAAAGAGAACTCGTTTAATTTTAATCGCGTTGCCAGAATTCTTTCAAACTAATTTTATTAACACTAAAAATTTCAGACGGATCAAATTAACTCATGATTTCTCCTTTTTGCAATTATTAAAAAGGTAACAGCTGTTTCTCTGAGAAATTATTAATGAAATTGATTTAGCGATAGTCAAGCTGAATTGTAAATCAATTAAAGTCTCACTAGATGCATTCTTGGAGTTTCTACAGAGGAATTGCAAAAAGTCAATTTAACTGCTCCGTAATAATAGTATTAAATTTCTTCTGCCTTCTGATTACTTCTTTACAATCCTATGTTCCAATTTCCAATTAAAAGAGCATAAGAATACCTAACTACTACATTCTTACAAAACAATATGTTATTACAAACTCCAATACCCCAACTCATATTTCTAATTACCAACGCGTACCAGTTCAACGCGCCACTCTTGAAAACGGGAACCGCAGAAAAGCCGGTTCTCACCTACGCCGCTCATGCGAAAAGGCCGTTCGCGTAGAAACGATTGTCCGCAGCAGGAAAACAGCTGGAGCATCCGCGTGTTCGGCGGGCAGCAGTTTAAGTTTCCGCAGGTCCAAAGTTATAACGAGAATTGCTCTGCCCGCAAAACTTGCCAGTCTCCCGTGTGCACTGCCACCCCCGCGCGCCATTTCGCCCTTCATCTTTTTGTGTCCGCCACCCTTCCGAACCCTTCGCAGCCGGTTCCTTTCTCTTTCTCCCCGTTCGCGCTCGCGTGGCGCATGCTCCGCGAGAATTGTTCGCGTGCACTGCCCCGGTGTACTCGCCATGTAAACCGCGCGCACCACAGACATTTTTTTCCGATGCGAAATCCACAGTTTTCATCCCCCTCCTCCCACCACCGACGTCGTTTTCCTCTTCGCAACCAACGGATCCCACACGCGTTGCTCGCTCCCTTTTTCAGCTGGCGCTGTTGCTGCTACCGTTGCCGCTACCACTCGCAGGTATTCGCGCGGCGAGAATAAAACGCCGGCATATTTCAGACTTATTGCCCCGCGCGACGAGTATTCCCGGCCGCCCTTTATTGCACCTAGTTTCATTCTTTCCCAGTTTATGGCATTACCGCGCAACGGACGGAGTTACACGCGTTTGCCGAGCGTCTCCGCGTGTTTGTCTCTGGGTTCAGGATAGTTTCGCGGACGTCGGGAATGTTTTCAGAACAACGCCAAGCGTTTTTAACACTGAAACTACCGGACGGGTCAGAATTACCCATTTATAATTTCTTCTTTTTGTAATTATTGAAACTTTGATACATGTTTCTTTGAGAAATGATTAAAGAATTTGATATGCAAACTGAATTGTAAATCAATTGAAATCTCAATAGATGTGCTCTTGGAGTTTCTGTAGAGGAATCTTGAAAAGTCAATTTAATTGCTCAGTAGTTTTAGTGTTAAGGCGAACCAGAAGACGGAGAGATCGTTCGATCTGCTTTTTGAAGGACGATTCGTCGCTTTGGTTGTTTAATTCGGAATAATTTGGGCTTTGAAGTATTGACAAGGAAAGCTTAAGAATTAGTTCAGGTTTATTGATTGTTTTTTGTATATTTTGGAGAATACAGTAGAAGTTAAAAGAATTGAATATTTAATTGATGGACTGGATATTTTTGTAGATTTTGAAGATCTTGGGGAAGGAGTGAAATGAATATTTGAATAGAATTTTATTCTTTCTTATGTTAGTTTTGGTAATTTGTATAGGTGAAAGTATGAAATGGTTTTATAGTGCTATAAAAATGTAAGTATGCATACACATCTACAAACCAATTCTGAAATAATTGAAAATTTGTACGAACTAAAAGGTTGAAAAAGATTGGAATTTTTGACTTACCGAAGTCTCCTTGTAAGTTTGCAAAAAAATACATTTATATTATTAAAGTGAATTATTTCAAACATATAAATTGATTTATATAAAAATAACAGTGTTCAATTTAATATACACGCAATCCTTATTCTATAACCCGTGCATTTAGGAATCAACTATCAAGTTGGACAATGCTGACGTCATTAAAATACATTTCCTTTGAGGAAGTATTTGAATATCTGAGATCTCACCGCAAAAGAATCATTAATCATCAATAATCGTAATGCACCATGATGTCCAGCAACGAATAACATTTTAAATCAAACCATCACGTAATTATCGCTGCACCAATAACAATCAATTATTTTCGGAACGCGTTATAAATGTTTAAAGTAATGTGCGATTAATGAATTCCCGTAATTATGGTCTGTTTCTGATTGAAATATATTTCAATATTTACCTTGCTGTTCAAACGTTAATGAAATTAATTCGAGACGCGTAATCCGCGCACCGTGTCGCGACCATGACGCAATGATTTTACGTTGTTTTCAGGATACTTCCGGTGAGTTTACATAAATGTATGATTATTGCAGGATAAATGCGGCGGCCATTGATTTTCAGATAGCCGAGAAAGTTTCGATTTGGACAGCCAGACATACCGCACGAAACGCGTCACGCTTTCCATAGTAATGGCCGTGGAACAATCTGCCATGCCTAGATTTTCCGGTTTGAGACATAAAATATTACGGAAATATTGCTTCGCCACTTTGAAAAACGATGAATTACTTTCTCTTTGTGCCTGTGCTTCGCGAATAATCATAAATCACTGATCACATCATTTGATTAACTCTATAATGTAATCTGATATAACATTAATGTGAAATGAGATTAAAGTAATATTAAAATGATTAATATATTCATTTACTAATATTAAACTCTGTAAGTTATCAACATCTACTTCTTTCTACTCATCTTGTTACATTACCCCTCCCATGACATCTGAACACCAGATCCTAAACCTAACCTAAATAAAAAATCCACTTAACAGAAAAGTTTAACTTTCCTAATAAACAAACTAATCTCCCTCCACCAAACCAAACTCAGAATTCGCACTCAACCAAGTCCATTTAATTAACTCCAAGATCCGTTCGTTCAAAAGCAGCGCCACCCCCACTGAATTCGCCGTTAACAAACACACCCCAATCTTCATTTTACAACAAACCGCATCCAATCACAAACTTCCCTAAAACCGTCCAACTACCTATCCAAGGTCATCGGGAACTGGGAAAGGGATTAGGATTTCGATGAGTCCCGGGGAAGGCCGTCTGGTCCGCCGCGAGCGTTGAACAGAACTTGCCGAAAAGAGGATTCAGGAACGATCGAACGTTAACTTCCGGACAATTTGTCAGGACCCAGGGGCCGGGTCTCGCGCAGGCCGTGATAAATCCCGGATTTTCATAAGTTTTCCTTCGGAGGCACGGCTGCGGCCCACAGGCTCGAGGAGGTTTCTGGGGTCATCTCGCATTCCAGGTCGTTTCAAGCGTGATCGATTCGACGCGCACCGCTCGTCCGTCTTTCTTCTCGGGCCGCGTAAAAAGGGTAATGCGCGTGGTCGGTTGGCTGGAAAAGAAGGCGGCCAGGGAATGAGAGAGGAAGACAGCGAGATTTATCGAAGTTGCGGCTTGTTACCGGGGGCTTTACACTTCCGGCGAGGCTGCCGCGGCGTGGGCGGCGGACTCTTTCTTTCTCTCTCCGGCGAGCGCCGCGATAAAGGAGCCGGCAATTGATTAAGAGGGTCGTTTGCGCCAAGGAAATGCTACTTCAAACGCGACCCCGATCCGAGCGGCTTTTCAGGCCTCCTCTATCCCCGGCCGCTTTGATTCTTTTGTGCGCCGTCTCGCGTCAAAACTTCCACGGTAATCTGCTCCGTCGGCCCGGCGAACGAGTGAAAAAAAGAAAGAAAGGGAGGAAGAGCGACGCTTGGTAAACGCCCGACCGAGGAGGAATCGCGCGGGTATGGATTTACCATTTTATAACGGTTATCTCCGACCGTTCGCGAGATTCAACAGCCGCCGCCGCGCCGCGTCGCTTTGAGCTCCTGGAGAGTGTGCTCCCGCGTTTGTTTCCGCGAATAAAACGGAAGTGCGGGCGTGGACTTTTTGTTTTTTTTTCAAGTGGGGATTGAGAAAATATTCTGGTTTCAGGAGGAAAAGGAATTAATTTTTTCAATATCTTCTTCTCTTTTGAGATTGTATGAAGAATGTACCTTATGCCGGATGTTGGAGATCGCGAGATTATAGAGAATAGGGGGTTTAAGGTAATCTAACTTGAATCGGTTGGCATAATTTGATAGTTTTTGTATCTATCGATAATTACACTGCTTACTTGCATTTTGAAAACTACCTTTTTATTTTCATGATATTTTGTTGCGTTTTGTTAACTCTTTATCATAGTTAGATCATAACTATATCCATTTTATGATTTTTGAATACCTAAAGAGTACGGAATCTTTCTGTTTTCATTTTGTAGTTTCGAAATGCTATTCCCATTGTAGGAAATAATTACGTAAAACTATTCACTAATTCCAAGTACACTTTCCCTTTCATTTCAAACTAAATTTCAACAGACAAGAATTTCTCAAAGCTTTCATACAAATATTTACAAAATAATCGATGAATCAATTCCTAGCATTCATTATCTTTCTTAAGGAATAGAATTACATTTTTCACATAAAGAATCACAGAATCTTTACCGGTTTATCATTTTTCTATATAATGCATGTTACTGTATTCTCAATATGTAATACTCAAATCTAAGAGTATTTTTGTTAGAACCATTGTTTGTCGTTAGCCATAAATATCACGTTTTTACCAAAATAGGTCCATTATTCAGCAAGGTAATGCTAATATAATTTTCTAAGCTCACGCACAACGTGACCCCAACCCTCGATAAAGCGCAATAAACGATCGGCTTATCAGCGAAAAATGCTTGCCATAGAAGTATTAGCGATAATGCGGGACGGGGATCAGCGTATTTTAGTAAAATAATTCTGCATTAGACCACACACGTGCCGGCTAATCTAACGGGAGCCACGCGAGCACACTTCGAAAACCTGAAAATTAATTGCGATCCCAAAAATACGAGGGGACAATCCCCATTATAATAAATTCTGGAGTAAGTTTCGCGGAGGCTGTGACCCCGACGGAATTTATGCGGCGTATAAGCCAATTATTTATCGTCGTTGCGGCTTCGTGACCCAGGAATCGTCAACCGTGTAACTTACTTTAATGTACCGCAATGGATTGGGCAAAAAAATTCTTTGTTCAATTTGTTCCGTGAATAATTGCTGATTCTGAATTACTAATAACGGGAATTAAATTTCATAGAATGACATTAATTACACATTGAAGATATTAATCAATTTTAATTATTAATTTCTTATAATATATAAGAATTTTAAAATTGATTGGTATTGATAGTATCTTGCTTTCATATATCTCGAGCGAAAATTTTTAAATTATTCATTTCTTTTGCTTTTTAGAATTATGACTTTCTGATGACTTATTCCAGTCGTTATGATCATTAATGTGCATTTTGCGGAAAATTTGTATATACCATAATGAATGAGAACCTCAAATAGCGTATTGAATTTCGTTCGTAAGTGTTATGCAGTGGGCATCAAAGAGTTTAACTGGAATTAGAGCTTGTGAATCGAATTTCTCATCTCCGATATCAAAATTTAAATGTTACGTCTACCCAGCAGTATATCATGTTCGCTTCGTATTTGGATATAAATTACATGAATTCAAAATTCTCGTTTATAGCGGTACACGTATTGACTTTTCATGTGCCAACGGGTATACCAAATCGATTTTCACGAAAACTGAATGTAGAATTACTTTTTCTATGTTGGTGTTTTATTCCTAACAAATTCTATCATACACACAGTCTCACCCTGCACGCCTTTCCGAGAATGTTAATTTGCATATACGTTATGTAATAATGATAAGAACTAATTACATATCACTTTAATTATCAATACGCTCAATAACATTTCATTTCGCAAATAGTTAAGCCTTCACCGTCCTATGTCGAGGTATAGTTCTCGTACATTAAAATAATCTTCGAAATCTTTACAAACTAAACAAAACGTTTTAAAGTAATTCGGTTTGTATATTGCTAAATCAATTTCTTTAATAATTCCTCAGAAAAACATCTGTTATCTTTTTAATAATTGTAAAAAGAAGAAATTAGGAATGGAATATTTTGACCCGTCTGGTAAAGCATCAAACATTCTTTCTTTGCAACAAGATCTTCCATAATTACATAACAATACGTCTATAAAATTACATTAACATTTTCATTTTCAAGAAAAACTTGAGGTTGTATCGTAATTCAATCAAATAACGCTAACCCAAGTGCCAGAGTCAAAAACGAAGAAGTTCGTACCGCGAAGGGTTAAATTTTAATGCCGCGGTGATGCGAAAGGAAAAAAAGAGCGCTATGGTTAAACTTACCTGTGCCAGCAGCTCCTAGCCTCAGAACAGCATCACCTTGAAGGGAGATGGAGAGGGTGGCGGTGTCCTCCAAGCGTGCAAGAACTTCTTCGGGAATGTCCTCGGGTTCGCGGAGGCGGAGGGTGACTTCACCTCCGCCTCCGCCACCCTGACCACCTCCACCCCCGGGACTCGTCGACGCAGAGTACATGAACACAGATCCGTACCCATGTAATGACTGCAGCGGCAGCCTGACGCCGCCCACTTCCCCGACCGGACCCTGAAAAACGACCAATTTGTGTTAAGAATAAGCTGCCACGAAAGTCTCCGCTTGACTGTCGAAGAATTAACTTCGATACTGCAGTATAGAAAGGGTCGTTTCTATGCACATCTACAAGTTACAGTGTTTCTTCCATATTTTCCATTTTTTCACGTTAATGATCTTATGTTAGGTTAAGTTTTACTAGGTCATTTGTACTTCTATTTAATTTCGTAGAAAACTGTAACTCGAAAAGGAATATTTCAAAAATGAAATGTTTATCTATGTGAAATTTGCTCAATTATAGGATAATTATATTTTTAATTGATTTTCACTGTCAAATTTTCAAACGTTTCAACTGTTGTTATTTTATGAATAGGAAGATAGGTTTGTCGTTTTTAAGTAAATTTTTGAAAAGTATTGATACACGATTTTATCGAAGTTCCTTACTATTTATTTCTATTAAATATTATAACGCAGTTCGAAAGCTTCGAACAGTTATATAGTTGTCCTCCGAATGGCGGCCATATTCTACCGAGATACACGGTTACGTTTATCGCGAGGCTCGCCATCGGGCTTCCATTCGTTCGTCTGCGCTACATATAGCCATCGAACGTTCTTTTACGCGCAGAAATATTTTGCCAATTTCACCATCTATGCAAATTTCCATTCGCGAACGTCAATATTTGCTGAATCGCGTCGAAAAAGGATTTCGATGTACCGGCGCACGATTCGCCATCGAACGCATCGGCCATGATGGCTTCCCTAAAAACGATAATACCCGGTGTTAAAATAGAGAACCATCGTTCCCTTCAGCTATAAGAAGGGAAGCAAAGAAATATGCGTTCTTTATTCAATGGGTGTGTTTATATATCAATTCGTAAATTGCGAAACGGCTTTTTATACGTATAATATACGAGTCCATTTAATGGACCAGATTGGAGTAACCAATGATACAAGGTTTACGTTAGGCATAAATTTTGTTTCGCTGTGCCTTGCCTTTTACAATATTTTATTTACTCGTAAATATACGTGTTACGATGCATTGTTAAATCATAGTGACCTCATTTGCTTTTTCACATTATTTACAATCGCCTTTTATGAAACCGTTCTTGAAAACTTCTGCAGAAATGTGATCACGGTTCCGACACAAATACGTAAACCACTCGGCACGGATATCAGAATTTATTACGTAAACCTTAAATTTATAATTTCCATTCAAAGATTTAACTTATCTTTCTTCTATAATAATCAAATAATTAATTTCAATTTCTTAAAAAAGTACCATTTTCAATTCTTGGCTCTATATCAAATTAAACTCGAAGTGTAGCTTTTATATCAAATCTAATAAACGTAAACCTTATCCAATTCACATTGTTCAAAACTCAATATTACAGTAAGTGCACGTCTACGGCAAAAATAGACTTTGTTCTGCACCAAAATTAAAACGAATAAATTCTTATGAACGTAGTGAACCAAGGAATCGTAAACCAAAGAGTTAATACTCTAACAAAAACACGGAGACACACCTTAACCCCTTGCCATACAATATCGTGCCAGTCTCGTCGTGAGGATTTCAAATAAAATTTAACAAATATAAACATTATTCAATCTGTTTGAAGGCACATTACATATTATTCGTCTGTTATCAATTATTATACTTCAGAGCACCCGTTAACATAAAATAAGACTGGAAGTTTGTCTTACTTTCAATAAACTATTAATAACAAAGTAGTTAGATGGATCACAGTTCACAAATAAATCATAGAGCAAGTAGTTAACACTAATACTACCAGCTCAAAATGATTCGTTTCTGATTACTCCTTCATAATTATTAAAAATATAACCTAATTCTCTGAGAAATTACCAAAGAAATTGGCTTAGTAATACACAAACATAACTGTAAATTAATAGAAATCTCAATAGATGTACTCTTACAGTTTCTGTAGATAAATTCCAAAAGGTTAATTTGACTACTCGGTAGTTTCAGTGTTAACAATCACTGACTGCAATGTTAACTCCGCCATTACTTTCGCTTTCAAGGTGAAAAGAATCACTGTATGAATTTGACGCGATGAGTTCATTCGCGTGGAAACAGCTGCGAGTAAAAGGGTGTCGAACGGAAGGGTGCCAGGTAAAATGCAAGAAGCAACCGTAAAATATACGCAAGCGGTAAAAATGTCCCGTAAAAAGCGCCGGCGAGGGGAAGCTAACTCGTGAGAGTCGCCGGCATGTTTATCGGCCCTCCTTCAGGCGCCCTGGGAGCACCTTAGATTTATCTGGACAGGATTTTCGCCCTTGACCGAACTCGCGGTCTGGTCTATCGATACCTCGTATCGATGTCTCGCAACATGCCGGCAAGTAGCGAGAAATTCTCCGGAAATCCATTACCGTAATCGTCTGACCTGTCTGCTGGAACCGCAGGACTTCGAACTTACCCCGATGAAAGTCAAATTGGAAACTTACCCCCGATGAGTCCGATTTAACTTTGCAAGATCGACACCGACGCGGTTACTATTTCGTTCGCAGTTGGTTTTCGTAGTTGCGTTATTTAGGATCTGTTAGTAGCAGTTATAAATAATCGAGGAATTTTTAACTTTAGTGAAAATATTGAGTACGAGAAAAATTATAATATAAATTTCTCGTTTTATAAGTTCTATGAATTTTCAATGAAATAACATTTAAAGAGTAGCGTTTGAAAATATTGGAAAAAAATTCAATGGGTAGTTTTCTCAATAGGTAAATTCAATTGCTAAAAATGTGAAATAATATTTGTACAGCTTAAGTACAAAATTATGAAAAAATACAATTTTATTGGATCTCTTGTATTATGATATCATTCTCAACTATAATCGATACGACTACTTTGTCATTAACAATTTATTGGAAAAAGAGAGAAATTGTAGGAATATTCCATGTCTATGTTTGTTCTTAAGTATTATAATTGATTACTGAAGAATAATATTTATTTGGAATTCGAATGACTAGAGTAATATTTATGTTTATTGAATCATGTTGAAAATCTTCACGAATCAGATACGTTGTTATAAGGCAAGGGGTTAAGTTCGTATAATGTTAAATCGAATTAGTCGAGAATAACTACGAAACATTAAAAAATAAAAATATTCGAGATGAAGTTAAGCTTATCACTACGAAGAATCACACTACCAATGTCAATTGTAAAACCGTTGTCCTCAAAAAAAAAATAGGAAGACAGAAACAAGAGTCCTGCTGGCACAAGGAAAGAAGGAATTCAAGCGAAACGGTAATCCAACTTGCATTTCTACAGCATGAATCATCGTTCACTTCGATTCAAAGCCTGGAACAAAAGCCTGCGGAGTCAAACCGCCGATTATTTACGACGCTCGAAATTCGGGTAAAAGTCGAACTGTTCCCATTTCACGGGTACGCGACGGAGCCGGGTTTCCCGCGTTGTCAGCGCGATAAGACAGCTTTACGAGCGTGTTGACGGCAGTTTGAAAAGTGCATGAACCGCCAAGTATCATCAAACACGGAGGCACGGCGCACGGCTGACAAGGAGATGCCAGGCCGTCTCTTCGCGAGGACAAACAGCCGGAAATGTGGCTATAACAATGCGGATACGCAGCGAGCGCTCCTCTGTATGCCCGTTTTCGGCGAACGGGAATATCGATACAACACCGGCGCAGCGTAGATTTCCTGAGCTGTAACGTAAATACGGGCTATGGCTCCCGGTTTCGATCCCCGACCCCCTCCCCGCTTACCCTAAAATCGATTCCGCGTGTTTGCTAAATTACCGGGGACTCGAAAAACGACGACAGGGGGCCGCGTGTAGACTTCATACGTGGATGCAGCGAATTCCAGATAACCGACGCGTGAGAAATCGCACGAGTTTTCTTTTTCCATTGCTCGGAAACGTTCAATGGAGCTCAGTTGTGTGAAAAGGAAGTTGATACTTTTGGGTATTGGATAATACTAAATCTGTAATACGTGTGTCAGTAAAAATAGTATTTTGTTTAGATTTATGGTTTTTATAAAATGCAGTCTCTATAAAATACATTTGACTAAAATGTTAAATACAGGTATAAATACTTTGCGTCTCAAAATTGCATAGAATATCGTATATACTCTTAAAGAAACAAAACATTACCACCCTGGAAACTATATCTCCCAGACCCGGTGTTATTTTTCTACTCGAAACAACAGTACCAATCCTACAAATTTCAATCCCATTACGATACACCAAACAAAAAAAAAAGCGAGAACTCGTTCCGCGATTAATTCCTTCGACGCCCGGCGCGCGCGGCGAAATCCTCTCCGAATCGCGCTAATAAATCAAATACATGTCAATACCCATAAAACGTTCCATTATTTCAGCGAGCCGTGAATCGAAGGCAGGGCCAGTCGAAACTCGAGTGGATCGGATGAAAAAGATCCCCGGAGGAAAATCGAGGGTCGCGCATTCCGATGGAAGGGCTGTCCCCATTGTTGGCCTTTGCTGTTCGGCCAGCAGTCATTAAAGTGAATATTACGGTAATATGGGGAAATTGTGGATGCCGCGCTAGGCGGAAAGTGGAGACCGAAAACGACGGTGATGTGCCGACACTTGTTCGCCGACCAAGAGAGAAAAAGCAAAAGATAGTAAGAGGGGAAGAGAGAAAAAAAAAGAAAAAGAGGGAAAAAAAAGAAA